CATTCAAAAGACCGATTGAAGTATAGGGAATATAATACCGAACGGCCCGGAACTCCCGAACAGCCTGGAAGTTCAGCACCTCTAAGTGTGTGGGCTATTACATGGTGGTTATTTCGGTTCACGAACGGCCCGCAAAGGTGCCGTTCGTGAAACGAAATGGAATACAGCTATCTGCGTTCGGCAGATAGCCAATACAGGAAATACAAGGTATTACAGCCAGCATACATTATACTTATGCACACACATACCCCACAACCATTCAGGCAACCCTTAAAGGTACAGTCTCTTTATATTGTCCAAGTGGCTAGGTTTGCCACACTCACCCTTCCAGACTTGATGCCCCCTCCTGCTTTAGCGCCACCCGGATGATGGGTCAATCCAATGCACATCAGAGAGGAGTATTGTGTGCCTGAGGCACATGCAATGATTCTCTATTGCCGACCATGACAGCACTGTGCATGCATGCGTAACGTCAAGGTATGTTACAGTATGAGAATTGGGAAGTAAGATTCCTGGCTCTCATACCCAGAAGGCTTGGAGACATGTCTTGAGGTCGCTCTTCTAAGCCCTATATTTAGACACACACACGCATAAGGACATACAGACACTGACATACATACACACAGACATACATTCATACTGGCATACACTGACACTGGCATACATACATACTGACAGACATATATACATGCATACAGACACTGATATCCATACACACACACACATACATACATACACACAGACATACATTCATATTGACATACAGACATACATTGGTACTGGTATACATACATATATACATACTGACATGCATGCATACAGACACTGACATCCATACATACACACAGACATACATTCATACATACTGACAGACATACATATATACATACTGACAGACATACACACTGACACAGACAGCTCATTTGTCAGCCACCCTCCTGTTTCTTACTGTTTCTTTGCAGGAGGGTGACTGGGGCTGATGGGAGTCAGCATGGCTCTCCCTCTTCAAGGCCTCCACGCTGGCTCTCCTCCTGCGCATAGTGAGCTGGGAGGAAGTGACCAGCCGTCACTTCCTCCGAGCAGCACTTGCGTTACGGCTGCATTTTTTTATACAAGGGGCCCTGTTGCGCTATAACATGGTCACAGCGCTGACAGTGCCCCTGAAGATATAGGGCCCATCGGGTGGCCCTAAGTGTGTGGGCCACCCGATGGGCCCCATTAGCGTGCGGGCCCAAGTGCAACTGCACTGGCGGCAGTTCCGTCACTACACATGGGTCTCGGGCAATTTCAAAAATTTACACTGAACCTGTAGAGTATGCCTGCAAAAGATTATTATGTTTCACGGTTCAGATTCCAAGTCACATATTACTTGCCATTATACTCTATGGGCATTCCATTGTATCATTTACCTGTCATTCCATAGAAAAGAGCTATAATCTCAGTTATTTTTACTTTTACAATCTACTGCTGTACTTGGGGAACACCTGTGGAAAAGATGAATTTGCTACACAACACAGATTTACCTGCAAATGAGTTTATGTGTTGCCTCCCATTATAGTCTATGGGCATTCTCTTTAGTCATTCACCATTGTCATTCTATAGAAAACAATGATAATCCCACTTAATCTCAATTTCAAAAAATTGCCACTGAACTCGTAGAGTATGCCTGCAAAAGATTTACTTGATATGTTTCACGGTTCAGATTCCAAGTCACATATTACTTGCCATTATACTCTATGGGCATTCCATTGCATCATTTACATGACATTCCATAGAAAAGAGCTATAATCACAGTTACTTTTAATTTTACAATCTACTGCTGTACTTGGGGAACACCTGTGATAAAGATGAATTTGCTACACAACAGAGATTTACCTGCAAATTAGTTTATGTGTTGCCTCCCATTATAGTCTATGGGCATTCTCTTTAGTCATTCACCATTGTCATTCTATAGAAAACAATGATAATCCCTCTTAATCTCAATTTAAAAAAATTGCCACTGAACTCGCAGAGTATGCCTGCAAAAGCTTTACTTGATATGTTTCACGGTTCAGATTCCAAGTCACATATTGCTTCCCATTATACTCTATGGGCATTCCATTGCATCATTTACCTGTCATTCCATAGAAAAGAGCTATAATCCCAGTTACTTTTAATTTTAGAATCTACTGCTGTACTTGGGAAACACCTGTGGAAAAGATGAATTTGCTACACAACACAGATTTACCTGCAAATGAGTTTATGTGTTGCCTCCCATTATAGTCTATGGGCATTCTCTTTAGTCATTCACCATTGTTATTCTATAGAAAACAATGATAATCCCACTTAATTTCAATTTCAAAAATTGACACTGAATCTGGAGAGTATTGTGGCAAAATATGGATTTCATATGTGTAATAGTTTTGTCTCTAATTGAAATATTTTGTTTCCATTATTCTCTATGGGCATTCCTTTCACTTCCATTATTCTCTATGGGCATTCCACTGCCTTGTTAAAGTCTATGGGCATTCCAATCTGTCATTCCTTTTAGTATGTCCCCTGTGGTGGTTGCCATATGGTGCTGGAGCTTGACCCAGAAGCGTTGGAAGTGGCGGTCGAGCTCTAGTTGGAACACTGCAACAGCGTCGCTGGGAGTCCGCTGGAGGGGACTCATGCATCGTGAATCTGTGAGAGGAACTCCTGCCATGATGTGATTGCGGTCGCTTTTTTCCGTTGCTCACCTGGTATGGTATTTGCTAGCTAACTAGGTCTGTCAGCACTTGCTAGTCAGGTCTGTCAGCACCGAGGGGACCGGGATGACCCTAACCGGTTCAGGGGGGGGGTGTGGGAGTGTCGCGGTTCCACATGTAGAGCTAGATCATGAGAATATAGACCGTCTCTCTTCTGTCCTGACCGAAGTAGACAAGAGTTTTTTTTTTTTTAATCTCCACTCTTTGCTTACATGTTTCAACAGCTCTCCACTAGCCCCTTTACCTACCTATACTATGTGATATATGAATATTTCATGGGAGTTGTGTGTGTGTGACTTCATGTGTGTTGGCATTTTTGTGTCTGTGTGATGATATTAGAAAGTTAAATTACATAACTGTAATATAAAGCCTAGTCAGAAGTATGGAAAAAACATGCAAAGCCATCCAAGTTTATATTGGAAATTGCTGTCTATTCAACTGTGCCAGAAGATGCAAGAGTACATGGTTAGTGGCAATTTGGCATAACCAAATAGACTTGGGCTAAACTTGCTATTACTGCAGTCCTGCCAGAAGAATGTAGTGTGGGATGTTCTGCTGGTGCTGGCTTTAGAGGATTTAGGAAAAGCCAAAATGGCAGCAGTGTGGGACCTGCTACTATCAGGGTCTCAAGGGTTAAGAATAGGGGATCTTGGGGCGCCGGACGGAATGGCGGCGTGAACCACGAGCTCCCTCCAGGCTCACAACACTTACCCGCCTCGACAGCCCCATCGACGCCCAAAATGGGCAAAACACACAAGCCACAGCAAACCGTGGCGGCAGCCAACACGCCGAGGGGGTCGCAAGCGCCAAACATGCGCCAGTACCTGACGGCCCAGACGGACCATGCCTCTCAGGCCTCCAACACCCCAGAGGCCTCGGGCCTGGCCCGCCCGACCTCACCCAGGGATGAACAGCACGGCCTTGAACAGGTACACCATCCGACAGACACCCCCCTAACCCAGCTGGACTGGGTATCACTAATACAGAACCTACCCACTAAGAGTGACCTGAAGGAGGCTAATGCCGCCCTCCATAAGTCCATCACTGGGGAACTCCAGGCCCTGAGGGAAGACATCCAGGGGATTCATAATAAACTGGCCCAATTGGAGGCGGATTGTGACCATGTGACATCGGCACAGAATGCCACAACAAACACCATACGGCGACAAGAAGCACAGCTTAGCCAAATGGCCCTCCACATAGAGGACTTGGACAACAGGGGGAGGCGACAAAACATTAGAATCAGGGGTCTACCTGAGGAATGGGACCAGACATCCCCAGTGCGCGACACCCTCACCGAAATCTTTAACACCCTCCTGCAAAGGCCGACTGCGACGCCCATTGAATTTATCAGGGCGCACAGAGCCCTCAGACCCAGGGGCCCACCAGATTCCCCCCCCAGAGATGTAATATGCTGCCTAACACACTACCAAGTGAAGGAAGACATCCTGAGAAGTGCCAGAGACAAAAGACAAATCATGCACAACGGCACAGAAATACAACTGTACCCAGATCTCTCCCCGGCAACACTGGCATACCGGCGAGCCATGCGCCCACTCACACGAATACTGCAAACCAATAAGATCAGATACAGGTGGAGTTTCCCCACCGGGGTACAAGTCACCACAAGCAACGGCCCATTTACAGTACGGAACGGCGTAGACTTACTGGACCTAAGCAGAGAACTACAACTACCGCCGATACAACTGTCATGGCCGGATCCAATGGCCTTCTACGCCTATTCACCAGAGACGCAACGCCAGACACAACAACCACCCAGACCCAGAAGGACGAGACAACAGACAACTCGCCCTACGGGCACCAACATGTAAAAAGACCGTTTGAATTCCGCCCACCTTCCCAGGAACCCACAAAACACAACCGCAACACAGATAGATGTCGCTAGCCCCCGCACGAAGAAACCAGACCTCCTGAAAACACAGCGATGAAAAACCCCAGAACCGCAAGTATACACCCAAGAGATGACACAACCAAAGAGGTACAGCACAGAAACAAAAAGAGAGACTCAGAGACATACTCTAAGCCTGGAGGCCCAAAAGGCAGGACGATTACAGGACCCCTAGGCCAGATGGGCTACCCCTGGACTAAACGGGTTGAAACCAGAGGATGGGGAGAGGGGAAACAGGGGAGCGTACTCCTGGCCCCGACACCGTAATAACAGGGAAAGGGGGGGGGGCCGCCCCCCCGGCTGGGCCTGGCCGCCAGAACCTAGCCGCACTGTGACGATCCGTGGGGAGCAGGCGGTGGGCGATGCCGGCGGGGCACACCCGGGGCGGGGGCGCCTACCCGCACCCAGAGCAACAGGAACATTTAACACACAAACATCCCTTACAAACAACACGACACACAGGGTACACTAGACAGGGTACACCCAACATAGACGCAGAGACAATAAGAGACCACACCGATCAGATCCTGAAGCAAGGAACTAGCCTACACAATCTGCCCTCACTAAGAACACGCACGCGCCCCAACAAACTAACGAACAAGCCACGAAGAAACGAGGGACGCAAAAAACACATTAGCCAGGAGGGTCAACGGGAACTTGGGGTAAAGGGGGGCGGGGACAAACGGCACATAAACTTCTGATACGAAATGTTGAAAATGTTGTTTTCACCTGTTGTGAATATATACTGGAATGTTAATGTTATTGTTATTGTCTACATCTTACTATCTAGTCGAAAACAAAAGGCTTCTCACAATGACGCACACCCACACAAGCCCGAGAGCTACCACACCCAGAGGCGGGACAAGCAGACACGCTCCCCAGGAGCAGGCACCGAGGAGCCGCATAGGGAAAACACGAGACAGGACACACTACCAAGAAATCGATCCAGACGCCTGGACCCCAACCACTGCCCGACAGGCAAGGCGACACACGACAGGTGAGCAATCCACGCGCATCACTGGTGGTGCCGTGGACAGACGCTCCCCGACGCCTAAACCTAGCCATCACGATCAGTGACAAAGGTACCGAAACACTTAGGGAACACCTAAGACTACCTTAAATACCCTAACCCATACCTATCCCCACTCCCGACCCTCCAACCCGACACTGACCGCAGGACAAGCGACGACCAGAGACTACACACACCTCAGTGAACTAGGGCGAAACCACCCCCCACACCACCTGACGACAAAAACCAGATCAGACTAGACGACATGGCATTGACCCCAGAATCTTTGCACATTCTTACGATTAATGCAAAAGGCCTAAACAAACCTGAGAAGAGATCAGGAGCGCTCAGAGACTTCCACAAACAGAGGGCCTCAATAGTCATGATACAGGAAACCCACTTCAAAAAGGGAACCAGACCCAAACTGACGAATCAGCACTACACGCAGGGATACTATAGCGACTACCAAGGGGGCAAGGCGAGAGGGACAGCTATACTTTTTCACAAGAAGGTGCCATTCCAGGAGGGGGGATGTATGACAGACGATGAGGGCAGATACCTATTCCTTAAAGGGAAGATTGCAGATCACCAATACACACTTGCAAACATCTACGCACCAAACTCACAACAATATCGCTTCCTCAAACAGACATTCCGTAAACTCCAAGCCTTCACAGAAGGGACTCTTATAATAGGGGGAGACTTCAACGTAACGCTCGATCCGACATGGGACAACTCGACAGGCACTTCACACATCCCCACACAGCAAATTTCCACCATTAAATCCCTACTCCGCAGTCACCGCCTGGTGGACTGCTGGAGAGCCCACCACCCGGGCGTGAGAGACTTCACCTTTTACTCCCACCCCCACAACTCTTACTCACGAATAGACCACATATATACAACATACCACGACCTATCCCTAGTGTCCGATGCATCAATCGGAGTGGCCACATGGTCAGATCACGCCCCAGTTGCAATCAAACTCAAATCACCACTCTACCGCCCCACGACTTCGACTTACTCACTAAACTAGAAGTCGTAACCCTCATAAGGGAGAAGATCAGAGACTACCTGCTAACAAACACAGGGGAGCAAACATCCCCAATGATACGATGGGAAGCGCATAAAAGCGTGATAAGGGGCCACTATATACAACAGGGAGCAATAGCAAAGAAACAAGCAGAAGCTCGTCTCAAGGAACTGATAGCCAAAATACACGAGACGGATGACCAAAACAAACAAACCCCACACCACACACACCAAACCCGACTCCTACAACTAAGACGGGAACTAGCCACACTACTACACTCTAAACACCACAGAGACGCAACCAGACACAAAGCCTTTTTTACATTACATGGGAACAAAAGCGGCAGACTCTTAGCCGCAGTGCTGAGGAAACAGAGACAACACACATACATCGACAAGATTAGAGACAAACAGGGGACCTTACACCGACTCCCGACAGATATCATGAAAACAATACGTACATACTACACAGAACTATACGCACTCCCTCAACCAAAAACTGATACGGCGACAACGCGCCTCAGGGCCACTATTCGCGACTACCTGACGAAATATCAGACACCGTCACTAGACCCAGAAACAGCAGAACTAATAGACGAACCAATCACAATAGAAGAATTAGCACTAGCGATTAAGCTAACCAAACCAGGCAAAAGCCCAGGACCAGACGGTCTGCCGATCAAATACTACAAAACATATGCCGAAGACTTATACCCACCCATGGTAGAGGCGTTCAACGCGATACGAGAAGGGAATCACATCCCCAGACAAGCCCTAACAGCCCACATCACTATTATCCCCAAGGACGGCAAAGATAGGGAACAATGCGGAAACTACAGACCGATATCACTAATAAATTGCGACATTAAACTACTGGCCAAAATCCTTGCAACTCGACTTACAAAACATATCCCTTCACTGGTCCACCCAGACCAGGTAGGGTTCGTGACAGGTAGAGAAGCCCGAGACAATACCATCAGAGCGCTCACTCTCATGCACGGGAAAGAGAGTATGAAAACGGGTCTTCTTCTGCTGTCAACGGACGCAGAGAAGGCCTTCGACAGAGTAAACTGGACATACCTCTTCGAGACACTGGCCCATGTGGGATTAGGACCGCACATGAGACAATGGATAGAGGCACTATATCGAGAACCAACAGCCCAAGTGCTGGTAAATGGGGCACTGACAGACGCCTTCCAAATACACAATGGCACGAGGCAGGGATGCCCCCTCTCGCCACTACTGTTCGTCCTTGCCCTCGAACCGTTCCTTACACACATTCGAAACAACACAGACATAACTGGCCTAACGACAGACACCACACATCACAAAGTGGCCGCCTATGCGGACGATTTACTCTTCATCATAACCAACCCTGAAATCTCCCTCCCAAACATCCAGAAAGACCTACAGATATACGGAGAAATATCCAACCTGAAGATCAATAACAGTAAATCGTTCATTCTTAATATTAGCATCCCTACCACACGGGTAAACTCCCTTCGACACAGCTTCCCCTTCCAGTGGGCCGAGCACAAGATCCGATACTTGGGAGTCTGGTTGACTAGGCAGAGTGGGGACATGCTTAAGGAAAACTTTACAAACACACTACAGACATTTCAAAAAGACATGCGGGAATGGGCACATCCTCACATCTCCTGGCTGGGGAGGGTACAAGTAATAAAAATGAACTTCTTACCACGCCTCCTCTATCTCCTCCAAGCCATCCCCATCGAGCTCCCGAGCCCCTTTTTTGAAACCCTTAGAACAGAGATGATAAAATACGTATGGAATGGGGGGAAACCAAGGGTGAAATTCACTATCCTGACGCGACCTAAAGATAAAGGAGGCTTAGCCCTCCCAGACTTCCACCTATACTATGTGGCCACACACCTACAGAGAGTTGTAGAGTGGACAAAAGACAGGGTACACAAACTGTGGAAGACGGTGGAGGAGACGGAGGCGGGTAGACCAATCTCGGGACTGCCATGGGACCGAAACGCGACGAACTGGGACGAAATGTCCATCTACACCAAACACACCCTAAAAATATGGAGAAGAGTAGCGGTGAAGGGAAACATATCGCCATACCCCTCTCCCCTCCTTCCATTGACGTTTAACAAAGACTTCCCCCCGGGGCTAGACCCGAGGGCCTTTAGAGGCATCCTTCCAGACACACACCCATGCTTACATCACGTCATGCAAGACGGGAAATGCAAAAAGCTTCCAGACATGATGGGAGACGTACCCCCGACTTTCATGCACAACTTTCGATATTCCCAACTAACCAACTACATCCACACCCTACCACAGGGCTCAGCACTCACTAGAGAACATACCACAATAGAGGTGATATGCATGCACCCAGACCCGCTCCCACACGGAGTGTCCGTCCTATACACCGTGTTGCAAACAGACATCCCAACTGAGACACCTGTATTTATGGGGAAATGGGAGAAAGCCCTGGGACACACATTGACAGACACAGAATGGGAATCCATCTGCTCACACACCACTGCTCCACACACAGTAAAACACAAGAGACAGCCTACAAATTACTAACCCACTGGTACAGGACACCACACCTCCTACATCAGATAAACCCAGATCAATCTGGCCTATGCTGGAGATGCCAACGAGAAGAGGGAGACATGAAACACATCTGGTGGGACTGCACAAAAATTAAACCATACTGGCAAAACATACACAGAATGCTCGAGAAATTCACGGACGAACCACCCCCCTTGGAACCAGCAGCAATGCTCCTACACCACACTCTAAGTACAAACGATCCATGACCATCCGAATACTCAATATAGCCAAACGGGTAATCCCTCAATACTGGAAACAGAACATAACACCTCCACTTAAGACTTTGTTCAGCCAAATGGAGGAACTCAGAATAACAGAAGAACTGACCATGACGACTAACGTGACCACAAAGACCTACACGGACATTTGGACATATTGGATCCTAGAGACAGCGAAGGAAGGCTTCCAAATGGAACTCGGAACAGACGTACGCCAAACCACGGACAGTTAGGCTTAGAACACCCACTAGACGACAGACGACGGAGACAACGACTACAGACACCCCCTCCTCACCCTAACCCCGACCTTTCCCACCCCCTCTCTCCTAAAGACCCACACAGGACGATACCCCAATCAAAGCAGAAATTATTTCATATAGAGGAGACACTAGGGCCCTGAACGGAAAACCCATACGGGTTCACACACAACTCATAAACTCCAAGAGACACGACCCTAATGAAACATAGACCGAGCAGACGGGATAACCACAACATAGCCTGAGGGCAGCAATGAACCACGTTCAAACCCCCCCGAAATATGAGTCATAACCCTCTCAACACAGGTACATTGTACCCCTAGATACAGGACACCCGGGACACTAAGGGGAGACTCACATTAATCTGCTACAGGCATAGAGCCCAACACTAAATTTAGGGACCTGAACGACACCTAACAATAAAGGCTGCATACGAGGTCTGCGAACCTCAACACAAACATAAGGAGACCACCGGCTACTATACATGAAACGTATAAACCATGTAAACAAAACCCAATTAGGAAAACAAATGACAGATGGTAAGATGTACTTGAAGGTGCTTGTGAACCTGGAAAATAGGGACTTGCAAGTCC